TGAGCCACCAGCAACCAGCTTGATTGCTTTTTCCCACAAACTTTTTTTTCTTCATGCATTTTTAATTCCCCCATAGACTTTAAATGGCAAAATAATATCTGCAGTTCTTAGGATGGAAAATTTATATAAATCCTATAATGATCTGTGGACAATTGTATTAACTTTGTGTTAAATTGTCAAGTGAAGATATGTCTGGTTTTCTCCATTTTTAGGTGTCTCCCAGGGAGCAGATCTGAGGGTGCAAGATTCCCATCTTGCCTGGGGGCACTGCTGCAGAGGTCTGTGGACATAGATGCCCCTTGGGGCCCAAGGGAAAGATCTAAACTCTGCTTCTGGCAATGGCTGGCCTATTACACTTGCCATAGGTGGGAGTTGGGGGGGCCTGACTCTGGCCAACTAGGGGCTTCTCTCTCTGCCTCTGCAGGAACTCAGCCAAATAGCATTTACCATTACAACTTCTGCGTGACCAGCTGGCCCTTAGCCCCTATAAGGGTCCACTCCCTCCTTCCAATCTTCCAATTTGCAAGGGAGGGAGGCAAAGAAATATGCCTGAAGGAAGCAATTAAGTGCCCCCACTGTGTCTGTGTTAGGTTCCTACCATTGTTTGCTTAGGAGGCAGTCCAGTTAGGGATCCTAAGTCAGGGAAGGCCAAACACTAGACTAGCCAGCCCGGAGGTCCCCCAGAGGGCAGGGCCTCAGGCTTCCCATTCTTTCAGAGTTCCCACAGCGCCTTGGGCCAGTTTGCTTCACAATGAACTTCAATGCATTTTTGATGAAACCTTTCTCCCTTTGTATCTGTCTCTGAGTCTCTCAGCATCTCTGTCTCTACGGGCCTCTGGCTCTCTCTTGTTTCCCAACATCCTTCCCAAGCCCCTGGGGAGCAGAACTGGGGGGGCCAGGCAGTGGGAACAGGACAGCGTCCTGTTCTCACCAAGGACAATAAGGGCCGGAAAGGGCTGGAGCCAAGGCCTGGCGCAGACTCCCCCTCCCTGCCTGCCCTGGGCACCCCCAGTCCCCACCCTGACCAGCTGGCATGCTCTAAATGCCAGGCATCCTCATGCCAATGCCAATCTTGAGGAGTGCACCCCCACCTGAGATAGGGATCCCGCTTGCTATCGGTCTCAGCTTCCCACTGGCCTTTCTGCAGGTGGCATCACTTTCTGCCCCTTTCATTCCTAGGTCAGGAGTCACAAAGCCCTCCTGCTCGTGCACAGCCCTTCCCCTTGTATTATTTACTCCTGTTTCCGGAGCTGGCTGCGGGTGTCCCAAGTGTCTCAGCCACGTGTGAGGGAACAGGAGGAAACATCTGGCTTCCCTCTGTCCTCCAGGGACAGGCTGCCCATCTCTCCCTCAGGTCTACTGCCTCCAGGGTGCCTCCCATGGCCTCAGGAGCCCAGGGCCAAGAGGTTAGTCTTTGCCCTTTTCAACTTCAGGTCTCTAGAAGCCATGATGTCCTCCCCGCTCCTCCCCCCCTCCCCCCTTTACTTAATGATGGTGATTAGGTGGCTGTAATACCCCTGGCCAGGGCTAATTGGCAGGTCAGGTGTACAGAGCCTGCAACTAGGCACCACAGAGATAGGCTGGGTGGAGAACTGTGGTTGGCGCCAATCTGCCTTGTAAATGTACCCATTCCCTAACTAAGGGGTCATTACTTCTGGGCCACATGCTGCCCCTGATGGCAGTAGGTGCCCTGACCATTGGGCACTGGCTTGGTACCTGCTATTTGGATCCTCTCCTGCCACAGAAGTGATTCTGGCACGACCCAAACAGCATCCACTACTGAGGGGCTAGAACCTTCAGGAGGACCCATCCCAGGATTGTTGGTACCTACCTGGACTGGGATCTGGCCTCTGCCCACTGTTCTCACTTCAAAGTTAGGACAAAGTCAAGGTTTAACAGTAAGACCTAGAACCAACCACTACCTTGTTGGCCCAGGGCCCATTTTAGAACAACCTCTCTTCTCCCTCAGAGGGCCCCACAGATCACAGGCCCTCTTAAGAGTAACTTCGCTGGGTAAATTGGAGCCTAGAACTGCCACCCTCTCTAGGAGGCTTTGTTCTCCATTGACCTAGCTCCACTCCCAAACAGAGGAGGAGGTTTCAGCACTCCTAACTGGGTCAGTCTCAGGTCCTTCAAGGATTGCTTCCACAGATGTAGCAGCATCAATTTCTCCAGCCCTTCAGGGGCAACTTGCAAAGGTGTTCTCTCTAGGAAAGGCCCGAGTTCATAGCGCCCTCTATGGGAATTGTAGGGAAACTGCCTAGCACTCCCTCAGAGCAAAGAGTTCTGCCCACAAATGGGAGAGAGATAGGGTAGGGAGGCCTCCCGACCAGAACTCATTTTTTTTTTTTTGCCAGTCCTGAGGCTTGAACTCAGGGTCTGAACACTATCTCTGAGCTTCTACCATTTGAGCCACAGCACTACTTCTGGCCTTTTCTGTTTATGTGGTACTGAGGAACTGAACCCAGAGCATGCTTGAAGCATGTTAGGCAAGCACTCTACCACTAAGCCACATTCCCAGCCAAGTCATCCCCTTTTTTTTTGTCGGTCACAGAGCTTGAACTCTGGGCTTGGGTGCTGTCCCTCAGCTGTTCAGCTCAAGGCGGGTGCTCTATCACTTGAGCCACAGAGCTACTTCTGGTTTTCTGGTGGTTAATTGGAGTTAAGAGTCTTATGAACAATAAAATTCACAAGTGGAAAAAAAAAAAAGTCTCATGAACATCCTGCCTGGGCTGGCTTTGAACTGCAATCCTCAGATCTCAGCCTCCTGAGTAGCTAGGATTACATGCATGAGCCACCGGCACCTGGCCCAAACCTTCTTTTTTTTTTTTTTTTTTTTTTTGGGTCCGGTCGTGGGGCCTCAACTCTGGGCCTGGGCGCTGTCCCTCAGCTCTTCAGCTCAAGGCTAGTGCTCTACCACTTGAGCCACAGCGCCACTTCCGGCTTTTTTCTTTTTGCTTATGTGGTGCTGAGGAATCGAACCCAGGGCCTCGAGCATGCAAGGCAAGTGCTCTACCACTGAGCCACCTTCCCAGCCCAACCCTTCTTTTTTTAATAGTATTTGGGATTAAATTCTTAGCCTCCTGTTCACTAGGCAGGTGCCCTATCACTTGAGCACTTCAACCACACTTCCTGCCCCTACAAACATCTTTTAATGGATTCTCTGTACTAATTTTTCCTTATTTTTAGGTGGCATTGGGGCTTGAACTCAGGGCTTAGAGTTCTCTTAGCTTTTTGTTTGTTTTTTTTGGTCCGGTAGTGGGGCCTGAACTCTGGGCCTGGGCGCTGTCCCTCAGCTCTTCAGCTCAAGGCTAGCACTCTACCACGTGAGCCACAGCGCCACTTCTGGCTTTTTTCTTTTTGCTTATGTGGTGCTGGGGAATCGAACCCAGGGCCTCATGCATGCAAGGCAAGCACTCTACCACTGAGCCACCTTCCCAGCCCCTCGCTTAGCTTTTTTTTTTTGTCGGTCGTGGGGCTTGAACTCTGGGCCTGGGTGCTGTCCCTCAGCTCTTCAGCTCAAGGCGAGCACTCTACCACTTGAGCTACAGCGCCACTTCCGGTTTTCTGGTGGTTTATTGGAGATAGGAGTCTCACGGTCTCTCCTGCCCGGGCTGGCTTTGAACCGAGATCCTCAGATCTCAGCCTCCTGAGTAGCTAGGATTACAGGCGTGAGCCACCAGCACCCAGCCCTCGCTTAGCTTTTTAAATCAAGGGTGGCACCCTACCACTTGAACCACAGCTTCACTCTCAGGTTTTTACTAGTTAACTGATAATAAGAGCCCCTAGATTTGTCTGACTGGGGTTGGATATGAACTTTGATCCTCATATCTTAGTTTCCTGAGTAGCTAGGATTATAGGTCTGAGCTATCAGCACCTGGCCCACAAAAGCTTTGTTTTGTTTTTGGTCTGGTCATGGGGCCTGAACTCTGGGCCTGAGCGCTGTCCCTCAGCTCTTTAGCTCAAGGCTAGTGCCCTACCACTTGAGTCACAGCGCCACTTCTAGCTTTTTTCTTTTTGCTTATGGGGTGCTGAGGAATCGAACCCAGGGCCTCAGACATGCAACGCAAGTGCTCTACCACTGAGCCAACTTCCTAGCCCTGGCCCACAAAAGCTTTGATCTCTTCACTGGGTCTTCTTCTGTAATATAGGCACCACCAGAATACAGGGTTTTGTTATAGGTTAGATCAGCAGATCCATTTATTCAACCAACCCACCAACCTACTGCCATCATCAGGCATTGAGAAGATAAAGCTGACCAAAATGGGTGTGTACCTTAATCCAGCAGGATTGGCGGTACAGAGGTAGCCCCCAAAGAAGAGACTCACTGGGCAGAGTTGCTCTTGACAGGGTAGGACCTAGACAGTTACTTTCCTCTTTTCCATCAAAGCTGGCTCAGAGGCTGGCCAGCTTTATATACCTTACTAAAACCTAGGAAGATCCTAAGATCCTTCCTGTAAAACAGAAAGGAAAAATTAAAGGCACTAGTACAAAGAGGCATAGAGCCCAAGGAATCTTTCTAAACACAGGCACATGGTTCATGCTGGAATAGAATGGATAGGTCTAGAATAGCAATGCTGGTAGGGAACTGCAACAGAAAGTTCATTTGCTCAATGTAGAAAGCTGAAGTAATAGTCCCACATGGAGTCCCACAGTATAGCATAGGGGTAAAAGTCTTCCCTTCTCTTAATCTTTGGTTTCAAAATAGATTCCAGTTCTGATAGGCAAGTCTTCCTGCATGGCAGCCTTAACCCCTCTTCCCAAAGGTCAAGACTGCAGATCATTCATGTACTTATCTTCCATGATGATTTTTCACACAAGTATATACCACAAATTGCCTGGCACTGGCAGTGCTCAATAATTATTGGCAAAAATGAACCCTGGCAGGAGAAAAGTCCCCTATCCCTACATTCTGAAAACAGTACTTGCCTGTTGAGCATTCTGCAGATCTATGCAGGCACTGACAGGAGAGGCCAGCAACATATCACAGCTTACAAAGCTACAAAGAATATCAACTTTATTGGACACTCAGCGTTAGTTTCTCTTCTTGCCCTTGCCTGTCACCTTGGCTGGGGCAAGGACTGGAGCTGTTGCCTGGTACAGAGTAGAGGAGATCTTGTTGATGTAGTAGAGACCAACCATGGAGAAGATGAAGCTACAAGGTGAAGACAGAAAGATCATGGCATCAGTGGGCATGCTGTACTGCTACAAGGGCAAACATTAACATCAAGGAAAAAACAATCCAGGTTCAGGTTTAAAAATGGAAGAACAGAGGGAGAGGTATGTGGTGGTAATGGTAGTGAGAAGGTCTGGCACCATCACAGTAGGATCTGGTGCCAAAATGTAGAGCAGTGTACCCCTTACCCAGCTGTCAGGCACATACCAGGTGGTGACACAGACTCGGTGAATGAGGCCGGATGCAAAAAGCGCCAACAGGAGGCAGAGGAGAACTAGGAAGGAAAGGGACAAAGAAGGTCAAATGGACTGGGCACTGGTGGCTCACGCCTACCTACTTAGGCTGCTGAGATCTGAGGATCATGGTTTGAAGCCAGCCCGGACACGAAAAAATCTGAGAGACTCTTATCTCTAATTAACCACAAAAAGTCAAAAGTGGAGCTGTTGTTCAAGTGGTGGCATTTTAGCCTTGAACAAAAGAGCTTAGGGACAGCACCTAAGCCCTGAGTTCAACCAGGTGCTGGTGGCTCATGCCTACAATCCTAGCTATTCAGGAGGCTGAGATTTGAGGATCACGGTTCAAAGCCAGCCTGGCCATGAGGTTTCCAATAAACTACTTAACAAAAGCCAGAAGTAGCCTTGTGGCTCAAGTGGTAGAATGTTAGCCTTGGGCAAAAGAAGCTCAGGGACAGGGCCAAGGCCCAAAGTTCAAGCCCATGACTGGCAAAAAAAAAGTCAGGGGCTGGGAATGTGACATGCAGGAGGCCCTGGGTCCAATTCCTCAGCACTACATAAGCAGCAAAAGCCTGTTGCTCAAGTGGTAGAGCAAGCTAGCCTTGAGGTGAAGAGCTGAGGGACAGCGCCCAGGCCCAGAATTCAGGCCCCACAACCAACAAAAAGTCAGATGGTGGTTAGAATGGAAATACTGGGCATTCATTGGAGAAATATGGAGCCTTCTGAATCTTAGGAAACCTGGCTGGAAGAGTGTGCCATGACAACAGCAGAAGGATTCCATGTTGTTGTCACAGTGCTAGGGGCCTGGAGGTAGGTGATGCACATATATATATATATATATATATATATATATATATATATATATAGTGTATGTATGTATGTATGTATTTTTTATTTTACTCATTTATTTTTTGCCAGTCGTGGGGCTTGCATTTAGGGCCTGCACACTGTCCCTGAGCTTCTTTTGCTCAAGACTAGCACTCTACCACTTGAGCCACAACACCACTCACTTTTGGCCTTTTCTGTTAGTGGTATTAAGTAATCAAACTCAGGGCTTTATGCATGCAAGGCAAGCACTCTACCACTGAGCTACATTCCCAGCTCACGTGATGAATACTTTTTACCAGCTCTGCCTCAGCTCTCACTTAACTTCCTGATCTTTCTCTCATAAAAAGGAAAAGATGGTGTGTGCATGTAGTTGTTAGTTACCCAGGAATCTGAGCCCATAAATTCAAGAGGTGACCAGCTTGGGCTACACAGTGAGACCTTGTCTCAAAAGAAAAGAGAAGGTACTAGCAGAGCCTAAAGAGCAAAGGCTTGGAAGTGGCACTATGGCTCAAGTAGCAGAGTGCTTGCCTTGACTGAAGAGCTGAGGGAGAGCACCCAGGCCCAGAGTTTGAGTCCCATTACCAACCAAAAAAAAAAAAGGCAAAGCCTTGTTTCCATTTAAGGAAATAACACAAGTCAGCCAAACAGAATCATTTCATTAAGCTGGGTGACCAGAGGTGGAAGCTGAAGGTTTGTTTTTGCTTGTCAGTCATGGGGCTCGAACACTGGGCCTGGGCGCTGCCCCTCAGCTCTTTAGCACAAGGCTAGCACTCTACTACAGCACCACTTTCAGTTTTCTGGTGGTTAATTGGAGATAAGAATCTCACTGATTTTCCTGCCCAGGCTGGCTTTGAACCACAATCCTCAGATCTCAGCCTCCTGAGTAGCCAGAATTATAGGCATAAGCCCCTAATATACAGCTCTGACAAAGGTTTCTTTCTGGAACAAATTAACACAGTATACATGGAAACAAAACCTAACAGAGAGAAGTCCTGGGACTGCTGGATGAAAAGCACTTTGGAAGCCTGTAACAGGAACAGTTGAAGAGCAAGACCTGGAGAAGGGCAAAGCAATGAAGTACATCTTTGTTTTACTAAAGGTTTTGCTTGAGATTGTATCTGCTGTAAATTTTGGAGCATATGGCATTCCTTAGGTGAGCTGGCCATGATGCCTAATTTGCTTTATGAACTTAATTTTCCATAAATAATTACATCATCAATTCCCAATTACAAGAGCAATTAAACAAGGGTTATTCCAAACAGAAAACAATCTAAGTTATTCTAATTTGGTCAGGAGCCCTGATGACATAAAAATGTGGCTTGAATATTTAAGTTCTTCACAATTCCCTCAAATAAATAGAAATCACTGGTGTAGGAGGTCAATGCACAGCTCCTAGTGGGAACAAAGAATGAGTATCAAGCACGAATCCCCTTGAAAGCTTCCCCAAATGCTGTGCTGCCAGCTTCTGGCTTTCAAAGCCTTTGTCTTCCAGTTCCAATATCTGGAGCTATACAAGCTACTGACTCCAGGGCTGGGGATGTGGCTTAGTGGTAGAGTGCTTGCTTAACATGCATGGAGCCCTAGGTTCGATTCCTCAGTACCAACCACATAAGCAGAAAAAGCTGGAAGTAGTGCTATGGTTCAAGTGGTAGACTGCTAGCCTTGAGCACAGAGAAGCTCGGGGACAGAACCTAGGCCCTGAGTTCAAGCCCCAGGACCAACAACAACAACAAAAAAGACATTGAACCCCAAAGCATCATCCTTTTCTAACATTTCTCCTTAATGACATTTACCAACTAAGCATCTGGATATTCAGTGTCCATGTTTGGGGGAAGTTTAGAGAAGAGAGGGTTCAAACACAACCCTGTTTTAACTTACTCTCAGGGAAGATCTTTGCTTGGAATCCTTTGCCAAAGACCAGATTCTCCAGATTATTGAAGGCCTAAGGTTGAGGGAGTTAAGGAAAAGGGCCCACAATAGGGACAGCGCTGGGTGGGACAGGGAATTGGCACCAGCCTACGTGGCCTTCCAGCCTCCCTAAACCTCAAACATCCCTCCCTCGTTCACCTCAGCAGGAAGGATACAGTGAGAGACAAGACGAAGAGGCCGGAACCCAGCAGGCCCCCCTGGATGGTGAGCCACTCGGTGGAGGCCAGCTGGCGGCTGTACATCTGCATCCCAGCGAAGAGCAGCAAGGACAGCAGGGAGGACAGCGCCAGGGAGGTGCCAGTACCCACCACTGGATGCATGAGAGACGGGACCCAGTCAGCTCCGCCTTCCCACTGGAGCTGCAGGACCATGAGGCTGGTCCCGGAGCCCCGTAACCCGGCCACTTCTAAGCACTCGGGGAACCACAGCCGCTCCCCTCAACTCTTCGCATCCCGTTGCGACACCCCTCTCCCCAAGCATTCCCCAGCCTCGGACACCCCGATCCCTCCTGTCCGGTGGAAACGCCCGCTCCCAGGAACCGAGGACACGTCAGCTTTGCCGGGACAGTTCGGGGCATGCTGGCCCGCCCAACTCCGACGCCCGCTTGCCGGGCCCGGGGATCCCGCAGGTCTCGTTACCCATCATTCCCCGGCTATGGGTCCAATCCGCGCCTCGGGCCAAGAAAAGAGGGGAGCCGAACCGGGCGCGGTGGGCTGTACGCATGCGTCAGCGCCCCACGCCGACTTGCTTTACTCCACCTCTTCCTCTTTGGCGACTGGAGGCAGCGCCCTCTGCCGTCAAGGAGGACATAATGTGTCAAAGAGCATCCTTGGCCACCGCCCTGGTCCCCAGCTTTGCCCTGTGCCCAGAGCATCCGCTGCCTCAGCTTACAAGCTGCACTGCGTCTTCGAGTCACTTGACCATGGCCTATGCCCTCTATCTCACCACTGACTTCCTTGCCATTTATGTCATCTCTAGTGCATGTTTGCCTGCTCCATGTTCATGGCTTCGACATCTCCCGTGGACTTGTCCAACAAAAATGTAAAGTGCCCAACCTGGAGTTCATCTTCCTCTGAAACTAGTCTCTCGTTTCACGAGTGGGAGCCACCGAAGAGTCCTAGTATAAGGACTGGCTCTCCCTTCAAATGCCGTCCATGTTACCCACCCCCAGACCGCCTTTCCCAGAACCACGTGGGGAGAACTATTTCCCACCCCCTACCCCGACGGGCGCTGTTCAAGGCTGGTCCCCGGAGCATGCGCAGTGACACTTCACCCCCACACCCCTCCCCACACCCCCACCGGGCTCCTGCATTAAGCCCAGGGTTCGCAGCAGCTGCCGGGATCGGGCACCCGGGGGCGGGTGGGCACCGTAGGGCCATGGCTGAGGGTGAGGATATGCAGACCTTCACTTCCATCATGGATGCACTGGTCCGCATCAGTGTGAGTTAAGATGGGGTCGAGGGGAAGGGTGGGGGTGTAGAGGGGTCCTGGCAAGACAGACCCTTGAACAGGTGGACATCCAGAAGGAGGGCGGGATGTAGACGGGGCTTAGAGCAGGCAGAGACGTGGGGGAGGGCCGGGATGCAGGTACGAGGGGGCAGCCCCAGGAGCAGCCGCGAGGTGAGTGCCGTGAAGGAGCGCGCTGGCCGGCTGGGGCTTGGAGAGGCTGCCCGCACGCAGCGGGTGGATTGGGGCAGCCGCCAGCAGTGCACCAAGGCTGGGGCTTCAGGGCGAAGGAGCTATGCTTTTCGAACTCGGCATGTGCGAGCTTGAATCTTTTCCAAGAAAACTGAGGACAGGTAGGGGGTGATGAAGAGGCCCGCCCCAGGATGCAGTTCCCAAATTGGACCCCACTCCTGAACCCCACCCCACCGCACCCCCACTCCAGGCAGCTACCGTGCCTGCGGTTGTCATGGTAACCCGTGCCCGGCTCTCCCAGGGGCGGTGCCAACTCTGCTCCCCCCCACCACTTCCTTCCCCCTCCCTCCCTGTCCCTCCCTCCTTTGTGTCAGCTGCGCCCCTGACCGGGATGGCTGCGAAGAGAGGGACCAAGGTGAGGTGTGGGGGTGGGGCATAGTATGAGGACCCCCCGCCACCAAAAGGGGGAGGGATACTTCCGGTGGGGAGGGGGCGAGTAGGCGGGGCGCTTATTTCTTCCCTAGTTTAGGCTCGGGCTGAGCTAGGAGAAGGGACGGGAGGGCCGGAGGGTAGGGGGCGAAGGGCAATGGGTTGACCTCGGGAGATTGGAAGAGATAGGAATGTGAAGGATGGAGGATGGGGACTGTGGAGGCCAAGGCCTGATGGGGGCTGGAGGTTGGAAAGCTGGCTGCGCCTGACTATGGGAGGAGTCACGCGTCCGAGGGGCAGCTAGGAGACAGAATGCTGGAGAAGCGTGCCGGGGTCTCACTGAGCTGCAAAATGGGCGGTGCCCTTGAGATAAATACCAGGGCTGGCCGCCCAGAGATGGAGGGATGGGGGCAGGTGAGGAGGTCTGCCTGCCGGGCACTGCTGCAGCCAGGGATGGGGGCGGGGCTTGAATGGGGTGAGGAGGGGGGGAGGAAGGCACAAGCTCCTTATCTTCTTATTGGACCCTTTAGCTTTGCAGAAGGGAAACAGAGGCAAGGGCCAGAGGCTGGGAAGGTCGGTGGGTGAACTAGACCTAGTCAGGTACCTAGTCAGGTAGCTCGTCTTGCCCCTCCCTGGAATCCCTTGAGTCTCTAAAAACAGGCGTCCAAGCTTAGACCCCACCTCTTGGTCCCTCCACAGACAAGCATGAAGAACATGGAGAAGGAACTGCTGTGTCCTGTGTGTCAAGAGATGTATAAGCAGCCATTGGTGCTGCCCTGTACCCACAATGTGTGCCAGGCCTGTGCCCGAGAGGTGTTGGGCCAGCAAGGCTATTTAGGCCATGGTGGGGACCCCAGCTCAGAGCCTACCTCTCCTGCCTCCACCCCTTCCACGCGCAGCCCCCGCCTCTCGCGCAGAACTCTCCCCAAGCCAGATCGCTTGGACCGGCTGCTTAAATCAGGTGGGACTGGAGCCTGTGGGATGAGGGTGGGAATGCAAGGTTGTCACCAAAAAGATGGAAGGGGTCCATCGCTGCACAGGGGCATCTGTCTGTCTTTCTGGGGCTGAGCTCTGACACAATTTTTTTTAATTTCATTTTTTAATTGAACAGATTTCACTCCCTTCCCCCCAGCCAGCTATAACTCTGACCTCCTTTGCCTCCTGGGTCCATCCACAGGCTTTGGGACATACCCCGGGCGGAAACGAGGTGCTTTGCACCCCCAGGTGATCATGTTTCCATGCCCAGCCTGCCAGGGTGATGTGGAGCTGGGGGAACGGGGCCTGGCAGGGCTTTTCCGGAACCTGACCCTAGAGCGTGTGGTGGAGCGGTATCGCCAGAGTGTGAGTGTGGGAGGTGCCATCTTGTGCCAGCTGTGCAAGCCCCCACCACTAGAGGCCACCAAGGGCTGCACAGAGTGTCGTGCCACCTTCTGCAATGAGTGCTTCAAGCTCTTCCACCCCTGGGGTACTCAGAAGGCCCAGCATGAGCCCACCCTGCCCACCCTCTCCTTCCGCCCCAAGGTGAGTCAGCTCCTACAGGGCCTGGGGAGGGAGGGGCATTGTGGTGATGAGTGGGTGGGGGTGTCTGGAATGTCTTGTGGGATTCTAAATGGAGGTGGGCAGAGGTTAAGCTGCAGATTCTCCGCCTTCAGACAAAGTACAAAGTCTATGGAAAAATCAACATCTCTGGATTTCCCTGTGTCTTCTACTGCTTGGAGAAGATAGTATCTGCCCTGCAGTTTCCATACCTGCAGGGTTGATTGACAGAATCCCAGGAGATAACCTATGTTTGCTAAAAAGTGTTATCTGGCCTGGAATGATGGCAAAATGCCTGTAATCCCAGCCCTCAGGAGGTTGATTCGGGAGGCTTTCCAGTGAGGCCAACCTGAGCTACATCAAGACTCATCAAAAAACAAAAGTCAGTTATATACTAAATGATTTGTATGCATGATGCTATTCTAAGCATTGAGGGTACAGCAGTGAACAAGATAGAGAAAGTTAATTATAAACCACAAGGCTTAGATTATCATCATCATTATTATTGTTACTACACAAACCCTGAGGTAGATGGAGGGAGGAGCATTGCTGGTGAAATGGACATTGCCTGGAGAGACACTGGAGAGGCTCTTTGATGCCTGTGTACACCACCAGGTGGCACTGTGGAGCACAACCAGCTGATCTTCCCTCCACTTTCCTTTCACCAGTGGAGGGATGACACCCAACCACTCCAGTGGTGGGTCAGTATCCTTATACACACTATTGACCGCTAATCTCATTGTCTTTTGTGTCTCTAGGGCCTGATGTGCCCGGACCACAAGGAAGAAGTGACCCACTACTGTAAGACATGTCAACGGCTCGTATGCCAACTCTGCCGGGTGCGGCGTACCCATAGTGGGCACAAGATTACACCAGTGCTCAATGCCTACCAGGCCCTCAAGGTGAAGACCCCTGCCCAGTCATCCCTGTGCTAACTCACGCCCTCACATACCTTGTCCTAATTGCTGGTCTACAGAGCCAGGCATGATGCCCACCTCTTTCTTCCTCCTTAGGACAAGCTCACAAAGAGCCTGACATACATCCTGGGAAACCAGGACACAGTTCAGACCCAGATCTGTGAGCTGGAGGAGACCGTCAGGCACACAGAGGTGAGAGAGTGCATGGACATGGGCCCTGGTCTCTTCCTGGGAGGGGAGACAGGCAGGTTGTATGGGTAGACATACTTCCATCACCTTGCTGCCAGCTCAGGAAGCCCTTGAGGGGTGCACATACATGTGGGTGGAGGTTCTGGTTACACTTGGTTTTCAGGAACACCAGTGCCCCAGGCTAGGTTATAGCTTGGACTGTAGTGGGGGCAGGGAAAGTATGGAGCAGGTTGTTTGACATGAAGACGGCAAAGTCACCAGTGGACCTTAGTTAGGACAATCCAAGGGGACCTTAGTGTCATGGCCTCTCTTATTTAAATGAGTTAGTTCTTAAAAGGTTAGGTTATAAAGACAAAATATGTCCAACTGAAAAAAGGTCAGGTGCTAAGGCTCACACCTGTAATCCTAGCTACTTAAAAGGCTGAGATCTGAGGACTGAGTTCAAGCCCCAGGACTGGCACACACATACACACACACACACACACAAATCCAACTGGTGATGTAGTGAAAGCATGGTGATGTAGTGAAAGCACTTAAGAAACTAACTTTAGAAAGTACCTTTGACGGGCTAGGAAGGTGGCTTAGTGGTAGAGTGCTTTCCTAGCATGCATGAGGCCCTGGGTTCGATTCCTCAGCACCACATAAACAGAAAAAGCCAGAAGTGGCTCAAGTGGTAGAGTGCTAGCCTTGAGCTGAAAAACTGAGGGACAGCACCCAACCTCTGAGTTCAAACCCCACGACCACCCAAAAAACCAAAAAAAAGTAACTTTGGCCTATGTTTTCCTACTTGCAGAAGTTAGAAGGATTCGGGGTTGGGGGATGGCTGTTCATCATATACCAAGACCTGAGTAGTCTTGGTCACAGAAACTGGTAATAGAGCTTCAGTGAACATGAATAAACAATCTCTGAAGTGACCCTTATTTTTCACTAGCTTCTATTGAGCTTCCTCACCTACCTCTTAGCAACATCCCTAGAATTTTCTACCCTAGTCCAGATAGATACCCCTTTGTCCAACCATTTCTTCACAACTGTA